CTTGGTGTACTCTGGGGAACCATTAACAGGCTCTTGGGAGTGCTCTTTGGACTATTAGGTCTCTTAGGAGCACCTGTGGAGTTATTAGCAGTGCTCTTTGGACTATTAGGTCTCTTAGGAGCACCTGTGGGACTCTTAGGCCTCACTGATAAATCAGTGTTTGACTGATTTTGGTTACATTGATTATTAGCACCTTGGTTACCTAGTGACAGTGTCACTTTAGGAGTTTCAGGTAAGGAAACTGATGTAGGTACAGTTTTGGTGCATTCAGATTTAGCATTAATTGCTTGGTCTGCTGTATGATTGCTCATATTGCGCAAACCTGTAAATATATCCTGCATTGACAGGGTATTACCATTCTGGCATACATATAGTTTATTAAGTGTGTCACCAGACAATTTTCTTTGGATGATAATTTTAGTCATCCACTCAGTAGTTGGGTGATCCACCTCTTTACTGAAAGAATTTATCAGTGACTCAAGCTGAAAACTAAAGGCTTGTAAAGAGTCAACTGATTGTTCTGGTGAAGATAAATTTAATAATTGGTGTACAAGGTTTATAATAGTCTTCTCATTGTTAGCGCTTGCTTTAGAAGGCTGTTGTGAGCAATTGTGACCATTACTTGTGTTACTTAAGGCTTCTTGCTTAGCCTCAGCTTTGATTACAGCTTCGACTGCTGCTGCAGCATTAGCTTTATAATTTCCTGGTTCAGATTCACTGATCATTGCAGCTTCACTTGTTTCATCTGCAGCTTCACTTGTTTCTCTGGGTTCTTGTGTTAAGCTAGTTAATTCAGTAGCGTTATGTATTGAACTTATAGAATCCAGGGAACATTGAGAAGAGTGGTCTGAAAATTGGTCAGACTCTGTAAACAAATCATCACATGAAGCTGTGTTAGATGAGAGGTTAGAAAATGAAGGTTGAACTTCAGTTGTTGATCCTGTATAGTGATCAGTATGGATTAGAGGATTCTCCTCGTCTTGATTTAGCTCAAGTATTTCATCTGAGCTGAGTGTTAACTTGGATACAGGTCTATTAATGATCTGATCTATCCACTCGGGAATATTTAGTCTTGCAAGCACTTTATCATATTGGTCTAACCTGGTTTGAACGATACGTTCATAGTCATCCAGCTCAGATTCTGTTAGACATAAGTCGTCTGTGACAGTATGATCGGCCTGGAGTAAATTCCTGTGGGACTCGATTACAGTCTTGATATAGTCATATCTTTTGTTAGCGCTCCTTATGGAACTTGCTATTCTGTAGACGTAATCTGGGTCAGTTTCTACACAGTTGTCACATTTGATAAACTGTTTTCCTAGCTGAAGTTGAAGAGCTGTCAAGAATCTTGCATTCCTTTCTAGAGGATTCATTCTTGCGATAAATGGAGCCTGATTAGGCTTAAGTAGCTAGTGGTATAGCTATAGTCTGCTCCTTGATGTAGAGCAGGTATAAGTATTGACAGCCTGGTATTTCTTGAGGCTGGTTGTAATTTACCTCATTTAGAGGTTAGCTACCTACCTAATAATAAGCAACTAAGATTTGAGTGGTACCTTGGTCTCACTACAGGTGTTCCTCAGCTTAGCTCTTCTAAATCAGCCTCGGATGGGTAGCAGACTTACAGTAACACTCAAAGACATACATAGAAATATGCAATAAAATAATTACACAATAAATGGTTAATCCCACCCTTGATAGGGTCAGCACAAAAGAATAATATATGTCACTAACTAGCTCAAGCCTAATCGTGAGAATTTCTACTTGAGAAACTACAACTATATTTAGTCTGTGCTTGTGCCAAATTCAACACAATCACAGCCTAAATTGCTACCTAATGAAGGTTGGCAAAGATTATATTATGGTGCAGTAATGTGCAAATAATTGTGCTGTGTTTTTGGGTTTTTTGTATTTTATATAATATACACTTGTATAATTATGTGTATAAGAAATTAAATGAACACAAAAGAATTAATTGTGTTTGGCAAGTATTCTACTGCCGTAAATATTACCTAACTCCTGAATGTACTCCTAATTGTGGAATAAAATATTATCAGGGTTAGTAATGATTAACTAGTATGAGATTAGTAATTTATATTAGTATACTAGATCCCTAAATGTTAATGATCCACTGACTTGAGTGAATCAGTAATTATAACATGGATTCAGGCTATAATGGACAGTCTGTTGACAGCCATGTATTGAAACATTGGTATAGCCTAAATGGTTAACACTTAATTGGTGTTAGTGATTAATATAAGGTTATGAGCTGTTGCTCTTGGTGACCTAAAGATTCTACTTCAGTATGAAGTGTAGGTCTAAATGTTGTGGGTAATTGGCTATGACCCACTAAAGCTACCTTATACATGAGGTGAAAGTAGCAATATGTTAGTGTGATCTAGACTAACTAATGTGTTACACTGTTAGTTGACACAATTAATTAAATAGTTAGTCTAGCTTATGTCACACAAGGATTAGTTATTAATGATTAAAATTTAATTATAAATTTAATGCCCATCCGGTTCGATAAGGACCATAATGTGGGATATTTGGGGCTTGAATATGATTATTTAAATATTAATGTAGTAAATTAAATTACGAAGGACCACCCTCTGTTATAGTAAAGAGGGAAACTGATAATTTCTGATCATTAGATAATTCCTAGATGAAACCAGTAACTATGGATAAAACTAGAAAATATGATCATAGAAATAATTAATGGGCTGTATTCTTAAATGAAACAAACCTCAAACACCTACATTGGGGGGTTATTACTGGAGGTAAGTACGTCCAGGAATTAGTGTGGTTCGTTCACTAATTCAATTAATAATAATCTAATCCTATAAAATAATATTGAAACTGATATCATTACTATAAAGGGGAACATAGATTATGAACATAGTAATGAATTACAGTAAACCACATATTATTCCCAAAGAATTCTGCACACAAGAAATTGCAATAGAATTATAAAAGGAAATAAATCTTAGCTTAATGAAGATTCCTTTAGAAAGCCATGGAAGTTCCTCTTATTCTCTGGACTCGGTCGACTGACGAGTGGAACGGGTTAACATGGGAGAAGGCAGCATGGAGAATTCTTCTCTTGTGCTGCAAGACAAATATTTTACAGTAGCAACTGATTTACCTACTGAATCTATATATTCAAGAAAATTAAGAGTTACAGGTAACAAATTTTAATCACCTGTTATTAGATGTTATCGTGCGTCATAACGGACAATCACCCTGCTACTATTAAACCTTTTACCCGATGCATCACATAAAAGAATATACTTAGCTGTGGGCACTGTATAAGTATTAAGATTGCCGTGCTTCGCGTCCCAGGCTCTGGTTAACCCTATCCTGGATAGTGACGCGCTTCGCTGGCCGGTCACGTGTCGTCAAGAACCAAGTCAAAGGGCTCCTTATTTGACACCAGCACCAGCTGAAGATACTATCTGCAAGGTTATTCACGCCTCACAGTGGCGACTTTCATCTGAGGATGGATAACGCCTGCCCTAGTTGCTGGGCAATGGCGTCTTCTTATGAGTACGGTAAGCGCAGGTCTGCCTCTGAGCGGCTCTCCACGTGTACTGAGCTGGCCTTCCTCTCCCACGCCGCGTCCCGCGTTCATAAAACAAATTATTGTCTCGAACATTAATATTTCTCGCATTTACGCTTGAAACGTTGAAGACTGGACGGGTTTATTATTTAGAGGAAGAAAATATTGGTATTTACAAATTTATGAATAGTAAATATATAAGGGAGAGGAATTAATGTCTCCCCATGGCATTCACTGGTGACGTTAACTTTATCACGAGATAGACGCTATGATTCCAACGCTCTATTCGGCTTTTAGTTAGAGATCAATTCGTCTGCAATTAGTTATCATACAGAATGCTTTAATTATGGAGAATCGAATTTAATTCTCTCATACATTGGATATAATGTGTTTACTGTAAGGAAATCTGACGCAATACTGGCGTCAGGTGACGTGAGAATTCTAGCCTACTGCACAGATGAAATTATTAGTACATGAGAATTCTACGTGTTGTTAATTTTACTTACTACAATAATTAGTATGGTTAGTAATAAGTAATGAGAATACAACAATGTTGTATTCGGTGTTGGAAATATCCAACAATTGTACTGGTTCATTCAGTAAAGGTTATTGTACTGGTTCATTCAGTAAAGGTTTGTACTGGTTCATTCAGTAAAGGTTTGTACTGGTTCATTCAGTAAAGGTTTGTACTGGTTCATTCAGTAAAGGTTTGTACTGGTTCATTCAGTAAAGGTTTGTACTGGTTCATTCACTAAAGGTTTGTAATGGTTCATTCACTAAAGGTTTGTACTAGTTCATTCAGTAAAGGTTTGTACTGGTTCATTCACTAAAGGTTTGTACTGGTTCATTCAGTAAAGGTTATTGTACTGGTTCATTCACTAAAGGTTTGTACTAGTTTACTCAGTAAAGGTTATTGTACTGGTTCATTCAGTAAAGGTTATTGTACTGGTTCATTCGCTAAAGGTTTGTACTAGTTCACTCAGTAAAGGTTATTGTACTGGTTCATTCAGTAAAGGTTTGTACTGGTTCATTCAGTAAAGGTTTGTACTAGTTCATTCAGTAAAGGTTTGTACTAGTTCATTCAGTAAAGGTTTGTACTAGTTCATTCAGTAAAGGTTTGTACTGGTTCATTCAGTAAAGGTTTGTACTGGTTCATTCAGTAAAGGTTTGTACTGGTTCATTCAGTAAATGTTTGTACTGGTTCATTCAGTAAAGGTTTGTACTGGTTCATTCAGTAAAGGTTTGTACTGGTTCATTCAGTAAATGTTTGTACTGGTTCATTCAGTAAAGGTTTGTACTGGTTCATTCAGTAAAGGTTTGTACTGGTTCATTCAGTAAATGTTTGTACAGGCTCACTCATTCATCCCAAATGCTCTCATCCATACCTTAAGTAATGTTGTTCTGTGCAGAGTAGAAAGTCTCACAAATAAATTTTCATCCCCAGTCTAAGCTGTAAGCTGAGGTGTCCACAACTACATCCCCAGTCTAAGCTGTAAGCTGAGGTGTCCACAACTACATCCCCAGTCTAAGCTGTAAGCTGAGGTGTCCATAACTACATCCCCAGTCTAAGCTGTAAGCTGAGGTATCCACAACCGCTTCCCCTTCAAGACTGAGCAGCATGAGAGAACAAAGTGCCACAGTAGGCATCTCTTGACAGCTAATCAGAAGACATATGCTGATAATAAATATCACAACGAAAGATACTCATCTAACTGACCATAGTGTTAAAGAAGTTACCGTTCTCAGTTTAGATGCTGCTTTCTTGGTTCCTGTCTGACATCCGTGGTAAACATTTCGACTAGAGAATGATAGAACACAAATATAGTAAAAGAGCAAGTCTAGAGTCCAATGCATTGTTTGTCCACTTGAGAGATTGTAATAATTTTACTGGCTGGACTAATTCATACAAATTGTGGAGTGAAGTCAGTTACTGAAAGAAATATTATTAAATCTTCATTTATTAAATGTAGTGAGTTAGATATATTATTGTAGGTCCAGGATTATATAAATTAGATAGCTTTATAATTGGAAAGATATGTGATTGATCAGCCCATCCTCCTGTTTTGGTAGTACTTACAGTAATGATGAGGACCGTAGTATATATACCGACGAACAACGAAATTAGAAAGCAGAAATCTGAACTATTGAATTGGACAAACCGGAAAGCTATTTTTTACTTGTGTTGCTTTGACAAACTAAATTAACCTAACCTAACCTAGGCCTAATATACGATATTTAAAGCTTGATATAGTAAATATGTGTGATATGCTAGGCCTAGGAATATTTAAGTTTGTGTTTTAGCTTCATTTTAAAGGAAATCTTTACCAGTCAGTATTCTACTATCTAAAAGCTAAGTAAGTACAAATTCGTGACTATATATATATATATATATATATATATATATATATATATATATATATATATGTTTTTAGTATATTTTGCTAGCAGTCTTTCCTGTAGACATATATTATTAAATATGACCGAAAAAGTAAGATTAATAATTCTAACACGAATTTTCTTAATATTTCTTATGGTTCTTTTCACTGCCGATGGTAATTGAAAAATCAGTTCTCCAAAATTCATTTTTATTTCTAGTCTGACGCGACACTTGAACGCATTTCGTAATAACTTATTATATTTTCAAAGACTTTAGTTACACACACACAACTATAACCTGCAAACACTAAAACAGATTTCTTACTATGCTATAATTCAAATGGCTTTTCATTTTATATACCTGCATTTGGGTGAGGTGATATGTTACAACAGTTTTGGATGAGGTAAAAACAAACTTTCAACACAAGATAGAACACGAAATATTGGGTAATATTGGGTAAAGTTAAAGGGGAAGAATGAAAGTAAATGCAAAGGGCCTATTGGCCCATATTTCTTGATGATTCTATATTGGTGCGGAGTCTAGAAGTGGGTCGAATATAGTTGTGCATTAATTGGCTGTTGATTGCTGGTGTTGACTTCTTAATGTGTAGTGCCTCGCAGATATCAAGCCGTCTGCTATCGCAGTATCTATCAATGATTTCTGTGTTGTTTGTTAAGACTTCTCTGGTGATGGTCTGGTTGTAGGAAGAGATTATATGTTCCTTAATGGAACCCTGTTGCTTATGCATCGTTAATCGCCTGGAAAGAGATGTTGTTGTCTTGGCTATATACTGAGATCTTTGAGCCTTACAGTCCCCAAGTGGGCATTTGAAGGCATAGACGACATTGGTCTCTTTCAAAGCGTTCTACTTTGTGTCTGGAGAGTTTCTCATGAGTAGGTTGGCAGTTTTCTTGGTTTTATAGTAAATCGTCAATTATTTCTTCTGATTTTTGTCTGTAGGGATAACGTTTCTATTAACAATATCTTTCAGGACCCTTTCCTCCGTTTTATGAGCTGTGGAAAAGAAGTTCCTGTAAAATAGTCTAATAGGGGGTACAGGTGTTGTGTTAGTTGTCTCTTCAGAGGTTGCATGGCGTTTCACCTTCCTTCTTATGATGTCTTCAACGAAACCATTGGAGAAGTCGTTGTTGACTATAGGCCTTACCCTACAGAGTTCTTCATCGAATTGCTTTCATCCTGAGCTGTGGCTGAGAGCACGGTCGACATAAGTGTTAACAACACTCCTCTTGTACCTGTCTGGGCAGTCACTGTTGGCGTTGAGGCACATTCCTATGTTTGTTTCCTTAGTGTAGACTGCAGTGTGGAAACCTCCGCTCCTTTCCATGAGTGTTACATCTAGAAAGGGCAGCATCCCATCCTTCTCCATCTTGTAAGTGAAACGCAACACAGAATTCCGCTCAAATGCCTCCTTCAGCTCCTGCAGATGTCTGACATCAGGTACCTGTGTAAAAATGTTGTCAACATACCTGCAGTATATGACCGGTTTCAAGTTCATGTCGACTAAGGCCTTTTGTTCGATGGTACCCATGTAGAAGTTCGCAAACAGGACACCTAGGGGAGAACCCATGGCGACCCCATCTACTTGCTTATACATGTGCCCATCTGGGCTCAAGAAGGGTGCCTCTTTAATACAAGCTTGGAGTAATTTCCTTAGAATGTTTTCTGGTATGTCAAGAGGAGTACACCCCGGATCACGATACACTCTGTCCGCTATCATCCCGATTGTTTCATCCACAGGTACGTTGGTAAACAGTGATTCTACGTCCAATTGGGCCCAATGAGGGCCCAATGTTCCCGTGCAGGGAACACGGGCCCTGTGGCCCGTGTTCCCTGCAGTAAGTCAACAAATTCCTTTGGAGACGTCAGGCTGAAGGCGCAAGGGACATAAGGAGTCAGCAAGCCGTTGAGTCGCTTCGCCAGTCTGTACGTAGGTGTGGGTGTCTGGCTGATGATTGGCCGAAGTGGGTTTCCAGCCTTGTGTGTCTTGACATTTCCATACGCGTATTCAGGTTTGTATTCCCCAATAATCTTTGGCAGGTGGAGTCCGGATTTCTTGTCGTTCACAGTTTCGATCAATTTGTTGACCTTTGCTTTCAATTCGGCTGTAGTGTCCTTCGTTACCCTTTGGAATTTAGTTTGGTCAGAGAGCATGAGGTTCATTTTCGCCAGATATTCTTCATTTTTAAGAATGACGTATATTGGCGACTTGTCACCTCTCCTGACGACAATCTCCTTGTTGTCACAAAGGCTCTTAACTGCCGCTTTGAGCTCGTGGGACAGTATGGTGCTTCTGTAGTTGCCTCGATTCTTTCCTCCTTCTGCAATAAGTTCTGAGTTATATATATATATATATATATATATATATATATATATATATATATATATATATGTAAGGTATCTTTGGTTATTATTATTAATTCTAACACGAATTTTAATAATTCTAACACGAATTTTCTCAATCTTTCGTACATTTCTTTTCACTGTTGGTGGTAATTCAAAAATCAATTCTCCAAAATTCATTTTTATTTCTAGTCTGACGCGACACTTGAGCGCGTTTCGTAAAACTTATTACATTTTCAAAGACTTTAGTTAACACATACACAACTGAATAGAACTTACACATCTCCGATTTTGTTTATATCTACATTTGAGTGAGGTGGATGGGGTGAGGTGGTATTTAATAAGATATTAATTTCATCAACACAAGACAGAACACGAAACAATGGGTATTGAATAGAAGTGATTGTAGAAAGCCTATTGGTCCATATTTCTTGATGCTTCTATATTGGAGCGGAGTCTTGAGGTGGGTAGAATATAGTTGTGCATTAATTGGCTGTTGATTGCTGGTGTTGACTTCTTGATGTGTAGTGCCTCGCAAACGTCAAGCCGCCTGCTATCGCTGTATCTATTGATGATTTCTGTGTTGTTTACTAGGATTTCTCTGGCAATGGTTTGGTTGTGGGAAGAGATTATATGCTCCTTAATGGAGCCCTGTTGCTTATGCATCGTTAAACGCCTAGAAAGAGATGTTGTTGTCTTGCCTATATACTGTTTTTTTTGGAGCTTACAGTCCCCAAGTGGGCATTTGAAGGCATAGACGACGTTGGTCTCTTTTAAAGCGTTCTGTTTTGTGTCTGGTGAGTTTCTCATAAGTAGGCTGGCCGTTTTTCTGGTTTTATAGTAAATCGTCAGTTGTATCCTCTGATTTTTGTCTGTAGGGATAACGTTTCTATTAACAATATCTTTCAGGACCCTTTCCTCCGTTTTATGAGCTGTGGAAAAGAAGTTCCTGTAAAATAGTCTAATAGGGGGTATAGGTGTTGTGTTGGTTGTCTCTTCAGAGGTTGCATGGCGTTTCACTTTCCTTCTTATGATGTCTTCAACGAAACCATTGGAGAAGCCGTTGTTGACTAGGACCTGCCTTACCCTACAGAGTTCTTCGTCGACTTGCTTCCATTCTGAGCTGTGGCTGAGAGCACGGTCGACATATGCGTTAACAACACTCTTCTTGCACCTATCTGGGCAGTCGCTTTTGGCATTTAGGCACATTCCTATGTTCGTTTCCTTAGTGTAGACTGCAGTGTGGAAACCTCCGCTCTTTTCCATGACTGTTACATCTAGAAAGGGCAGCTTCCCATCCTTTTCCATCTCGTAAGTGAAACGCAGCACGGAACTCCGCTCAAATGCCTCCTTCAGCTCCTGCAGATGTCTGACATCAGGTACCTGTGTAAAAATGTCGTCAACATACCTGCAGTATATGGCCGGTTTCAAGTTCATGTCGACTAAGACTTTTTGCTCGATGGTGCCCATGTAGAAGTTTGCAAACAGGACACCTAGGGGAGAACCCATGGCAACCCCATCTACTTGTTTATACATGTGCCCATCCGGGCTCAAGAAGGGTGCCTCTTTAGTACAAGCTTGGAGTAGTTTCCTTAGGATATTTTCTGGTATGTCAAGAGGAGTACAGGCTGGATCACGATACACTCTGTCGGCTATCATCCCGATTGTCTCGTCCACTGGTACATTGGTGAACAGCGATTCTACGTCCAACGAGGCTCTTATTCCTGTGGCCCGTGTGCCCCGCAGTAAGTCAACAAGCTTGTACTAAAGAGGCACCCTTCTTGAGCCCGGATGGGCACATGTATAAACAAGTAGATGGGGTTGCCATGGGTTCTCCCCTAGGTGTCCTGTTTGCAAACTTCTACATGGGCTCCATCGAGCAAAAAGTCTTAGTCGACATGAACTTGAAACCGGCCATATACTGCAGGTATGTTGACAACATTTTTACACAGGTACCTGATGTCAGACATCTGCAGGAGCTGAAGGAGGCATTTGAGCGGAGTTCCGTGCTGCGTTTCACTTACGAGATGGAAAAGGATGGGAAGCTGCCCTTTCTAGATGTAACAGTCATGGAAAAGAGCGGAGGTTTCCACACTGCTGTCTACACTAAGGAAACGAACATAGGAATGTGCCTAAATGCCAAAAGCGACTGCGCAGATAGGTACAAGAAGAGTGTTGTTAACGCATATGTCGACCGTGCTCTCAGCCACAGCTCAGAATGGAAGCAAGTCGACGAAGAACTCTGTAGGGTAAGGCAGGTCCTAGTCAACAACGGCTTCTCCAATGGTTTCGTCGAAGACATCATAAGAAGGAAAGTGAAACGCCATGCAACCTCTGAAGAGACAACCAACACAACACCTATACCATCTATTAGACTATTTTACAGGAACTTCTTTTCCACAGCTCATAAAACGGAGGAAAGGGTCCTGAAAGATATTGTTAATAGAAACGTTATCCCTACAGACAAAAATCAGAGGATACAACTGACGATTTACTATAAAACCAGAAAAACGGCCAGCCTACTCATGAGAAACTCTCCAGACACAAAACAGAACGCTTTAAAAGAGACCAACGTCGTCTATGCCTTCAAATGCCCACTTGGGGACAGTAAGCTCCAAAAAACCCAGTA